AGAAAACTTCAGGCCAGTATCCATGAGGAACACAAATGCAAAAAGCTTCAATAAAATACCAGCAAACCAATTGCAACAGTACATCAAAAAGCTTATTAATCACAATCAAGTAGGCTTCATTCCTGGGATGCAAGCCTGGTTCAACATATGCAAATTTATAAACATAATTCACCACATAAACAGAACCAAAGATAAAAACCACATGATAATCTCAATAGATGCAGAAAAGGCCTTCAACAAAATTCAACAGCCCTTTAGCTAAAAACTCTCAATTAACTAGGTATCAATGGAATGTATCTCAAAATAAAAACAATTCTTTATCACAAAACCACAGCCAATATCATACTGAATGGACAAAAACTGGAAGCATTCCCTTTGAAATCTGGCACTAGACAAAGATGCCCTCTCTCACCACTCCTTTTCAATATAGTATTGGAAGTTCTAGTCAGAACAATCAGGCAAGAAAAAGAAATAAAGGGCAGTCAATTAAGAAAGGGGGAAGTCAAATTGTCTCTATTTGCAAATGACATGATTGTTTATTTAGGAGACACCATTGTCTCAGCCCAAAATCTCCGTAAGCTGATAAGCAACTTCAGCAAAGTCTCGGGATACAAAATCAATGTGCAGAAATCACAAGCATTCCTTTACACCAATAACAGAATTAAGGAGAGCCCAATCAAGAACGAACTGCCATTCACAATTGCTACAAAGAGAATAAAATACCTAGGAATACAACTAACAAGGGACGTGAAGGACCTTTTCAAGCAGAACTACAAACCACTCCTCAAGGAAATAAGAGAGGACACAAACAGATGGAAAACCATTCCATGCTCATGGTTAGGAAGAATCAACATTGTGAAAATGGCCATACTGCTCAAAGTAATTTACAGATTCAAAGCTATCCCCATCAAGCTACCTGTGACCCTCTTCAAAGAACTGGAAAAAACCACCTTAAACTTCATATGGAACCAAAAGAGAGCTTGCATAGGCAAAACAATTCTAAGCAAAAAGAACAAAGCTGGAGGCATCACACTACCTTACTTCAAACTATACTACAAGGCTACAGTAATCAAAACAGCATGGTACTGGTACCAAAACAGAAATATAGACCAGTGGAAAAGAACAGAGACCTCAGAGTCAACGCCACACATCTACAACCATCTGATCTTTGAGAAGCCTGACATAAACAAGCAACAGGGAAAGGATTCCCTGTTTAATAAATAGTGTTGGGAAAACTGGATAGCCACGTGCAGAAAGCAGAAACTGAACCCCTTCCTGACACCTTACACTAAAATTAACTCCAGATGGATTAAGGACTTAAACATAAGACCTAACACCATAAAAACTCTAAAAGAAAACCTATGCAAAACCATTTAGGACATAGGTATAGGCAAGGACTTCCATGATTAAAACACCAAAAGCATTGGCAACAAAAGCCAAAATAGACAATTGGATCTAATTAAACTCCAGAGCTTCTGTACAGCAAAAGAAACAATCATTAGAGTGAACGGGCAACCAACAGAATGGGAAAAAAATTTTGCAATCTACCCATCTGACAAAGGCTAATATTGAGAATCTACAAAGAACTAAAACAGATCTACAAGAAAAAAACAAACAAGCCCATTCAAAAGTGGGCATATGAACAGACACTTTTCAAAAGAAGACATATATGAGGCCAACAAACATATGAAAAAATGCTCATCATCACTGGTCATTAGAGAAATGCAAATCAAAACTACATTGAGATACCATCTCACACCAGTTAGAATGGCGATCATTAAAAAATCTGGAGACAACAGATGCTGGAGAGGGTGTTGAGAAATAGGAACACTTTTACACTGTTGGTGGGAGTGTAAATTAGTTCAACCATTGTGGAAGACAGTGTGGTGATTCCTCAAGGACCTAAAAATAGAAATTCCATTTGACCCAGCAATCCTATGACTGGGTATATATCCAAAGGATTATAAATTGTTCTATTATAAAGACACATGCACATGTATTGTCATTGTGGCACTGTTTACAACAGCAAAGACCTGGAACCAACCCAAATGCCCATTGATGATAAACTGGACAAGGAAAATGTGGCACATATACACCATGGAATATTATGCCGCCATAAAAAATGATGAGTTTGTGTTCTTTGTAGGGACATGGATGAATCTGGAAACCATCATTCTCAGCAAACTGACACAGGAACAGAAATTCAAACACTGCATATTCTCACTCATAGGCAGGTGTTGAACAATGAGAACACATGGACATAGGAAGGGGGACATCACACACTGGGGTCTGTTGGGGGGAAATAGGGAAGGGACAGCAGGGGGCAGGGAGGTTGCGGTGGTATAACATGGGGAGAAATGACAGATATAGGTGATGGGGGAAATGAAGTCAGCAAAACAAATTGCCATGTAGGTAGCTATGCAACAATCCTGCATGTTCTGCACATGTACCCCAGAACCTAAAGTGCAATAAAATATATATATATATATATTTTTTAAGTTTCAGATGTGCAGTATAAGTCTTAAAGAACTACTGTATAGTATAGTGTCTATGATTAACAATACTGTATTGTATATTTTTTAATTTGGTAAGAATAAAAACTTATGTTGTGTTCTTATCACACACACAAAAAAAAACCACTCTTCAAAGAAATGTAATTCGGAGACTAAAGTATGAGTATGAAAGTAATACATTAGTATACTCCAAAAAGATGCCTTTCATCATTATTATTTTAACTCATGACCTTAGAACCCTGCAAATAATCTTAGTTTCAAATAAATATTTAAAAGTAACGTTTTCTCTAAAACCAATACCCAGTGTAATAAACAGTGCTTATTTTAAAAACAATGAATGAATAAATGAATGAACATGCAAGTAGACAGATGGCTTGTTCCAGAAATTTCAAAAAACAAATGCAGCTCCTCTCCATGCAGAAGCTATTCTCTGCATACATTGCAATAACTCTTTCCATTGTTTGGAAGAACCCTCTAAATTTAGGGATCAGTAAGGAAAATTTCTTAAGTCTCATGAATTCTTTTATACACAAGGCAGATATTTTCAAAATCAAAATTTTAAGTATATATTTTATAAAAGTAGTATGCCTCTATATGTTCAGATAATCTTCATCACAACTTCTGCATTTTCATATGACTTCATGGGGCTAATTTAGATAAAGCACAGCTTTTTTCAGTCCACTGAGTAACCTTTTCAATATTTAAGCTGCTTCCAACTTAAATTATTTTAACTCTCTTTGAACATCTCATTAGCTTTTGAGTGAAGGGCCTTTATCACCGAGATAACGTAATAGATGTTTGTTTATGGGGAGACGAAGTTGGCCTTATAGAGCTCCACTTTAACCAAAGGAGTACGTTCATAGGATTATACTTACATTTTTAAACTAGTTTTTATCTTTTATTTTTAAATTGACAGATAACATTGTATGTTTCTGTCATAAACAACATGATGTTTTCAAGAATATATATACATTATGGAACAGTTACATCTAGCTAACAAATGTACAACTCACATAGTTATCATTTTTGTGATGACAGCACATAATATCCACTAAAAATAGAACTACCATGTAATCCAGCAATCTCACTACTGGATATATATCCAAAGGAAGTGAAATAAGTTTATCAAAGAGATATCTACACTCCCATGTTTATCACAGTGCAATTCACAATAGCCAAAATCTGAAATCAACCTAAGTGTCCATCAATGGATGCATGAATTTAAACAAGGTGGTTTATATACAAAATTGTGTATTATTCAGCCATAAAGAAATACAAAAGCCTGCCATTTGTGGCAACGTGGATGAACCTGCAGGGCATTATGTTAAATGAAATAAGCCAGACACCAAAAAACAAATACCATATGGTCTCATTCATATGTGGAATCTAAAAAAGTTGATCTCATAGAAGTACACTTCTCTATTCTTGGACCACATTCACTATCCTAGTTCTCAAATTCACCCTCCATTCTCAAGACTACCATTGAAATGTTTGTGCTTTAACTCAGCATCTCATCTGCTCTGACCTAGAATCCTGTTAAATGGACCACCTGTCTCCAATCTTCTAAACCTAATGGTTTCAAGATTCCAATATGTAAATAGAATCACATCTCTCCCTTGACTTCAAATCCTTCAATGTGTTTCCAAGGAGTTAAGAGAAAAAGTGCATTTGACAACCATCTGCTAGTCCCTAACTCCAACTCTGCTCCCTTACTTCCTCACTTCCTAAAACCTACTCATTTCGGTACTTAGCCACAAGTCTCACACCCTCCATGAAAGGTTCTCTGAATCCTTTACCCACCTCTCCATAAAATAAGACACTCCTTCCTCAATATCTCTATGCTACAGCAGATGACCTAGCATTACATTCTAATTGTTTATATGCCTATTTCCCCCACAAGTCTGTGACCATCTTGGAAGTGGGGTTCTTTGCTCCAACCTTTTATCCTGGTGACTTGAACAGTATCTGACATCTAGTAGCTACTCAATCAATGTTTGTCAAATGTACATAAGAAATAAGTGACAGCTGGAGAGACGAAGGAAGGATATCAGTAGTTTTAACAGACAAGGAAAACATTACTGTAGAAGGTTACATTTAACATAGCAAAATCCCTTTACAATTTTTGTATCCTATTATTTTCTATCTATCTTTTTAGGAAGCTGACCTCATTCCTATTGTTATTATGAGTACAACAGACCACAGAAAGTCAGCGAATTCATCTTAATGCTTTTTTGAGTCATTCTTGATGACAGAGAATTACCAGCAACCAGGTTAACCATACTCCTATAGACAGCATGATAATAAAGGTTGCTTTGTTGGAATGCATAAGAATATACACTGAAATAGTAAAAGTAGTATTTGGCTATATAAATTAAAAAATTATTCTTAAAGTCACTTTAAATATAATAGAAACTTACAGTAACTTATCATACACATGCCTTGAACTTAAAGTCACTTAAAATATAACAGAAACTTATAGTTACTTACCATACACACGCCTTGAACACAGATGTCATGAGTTTCAGTTCCACAAGGAGTACCATCTTCAACCATAGCCTTCAATAGGTAGAAATCACTGGTTCCAGCAACCTCACAATAGAGTTTACAACGATCTCTTGCACCAACTGTAAAAGAGAAAAAGGTCAAAATTTTAACGTGTAATAATAAAGCTATGTGTTCTTATGTATCAGAAAAATTTACATCAAAGAAACAGCGTAATTTACTTACTGCCACTGTATTTTGGAAGCCACCTTACATTACGGGGAAGACCATTGATGTTCACATGTTTACCATTAAAATCAGAGCATTGCTTCTCTCGAAAGTCTTGTGTGCCATTTGGACATGAATCAGTATTACATGATCGAAATTTCATCCTGCGGCCCACACAGTAATTTCCTCCATTTCTTGGCCTAGTTAAATTCATGACATTGTAAAGCTCATCAGTACAAAATTATTTGTGCCACTTACTTCTAAAAGTTTCCTTCTTTTCCAGGATCTAGAAAACCACTGAAGTCCCACTAACACTTTTTGTTTTTAACAGAAGTATGTAACAAGAGTTTTAAGCAATTCTATTGATAATTAACCATAAAAATATCCACCTCAGCATGGACAGTGAGGCATAGAGGGCAGAAATGATACCTTGTTCTTGGATAGGTTAACTAACAAGAAACTAACAATGGAAGTTTGTTCTTAAACTTCCAAAAAAGGGTTTGCTCATTTTCTGGAAAGAAAAAAGATATGTAGTGAACCAAAGACAATAAAAAAGGCAGATACCATGTTAAATAAAAAGAAAATATATATGCATCTTTGTCGTGTATATCTTATTTATTACTCAGTTCAAGGAGTTTTGCGGTATCAATCTATATCCATGTTAGTTTGACTTATGTTGGAAAATAAAATTTGTTTATGGAATTTTTGGAATATAAAGACTTCTAGTATAATTTATCCTAAAATGTAAATAAACCAAGATTTTATTCAGAGTATGTCACATTTCTGCATTACAAATGCTTATTAATAATACTTTGAGTATCATGTTGCTTACCAACTTATATATCATATATACAACAGAAACATTATTTTAAAATATTTATGCAATATCTAAGCTCTTTCAAATAGTTTGATGAGGGGAAGATATGCTTCAGTACTTATTCAGCTAAAGACAATGATGCATCTGTAACACAAGGTGCAGAGAGAAGAAAGTATCACATGTCATATTGCATAAAACAGTAAAAAAATTGGTAACCAAACTTTATATGTTGTCCAGAAGATCCAAAGCATAAGCAAAAGGAGCCAGGATGTTTCATTAGGTATACAGTAAATGTGAAGATGCCATTATATTACCGTCATTCATATTTACAAGTATGCCTCAAAATTTTATACTAAACTAAAAAACAAAAAATGAAGAAAATAAATCTCAGTTCAGATTATAAAATTTAATCTATCTGAATCTACCAAAACATGGCTTAACGTGTTCCAAAAGTTTTCTGAATCTCAGAAACTTACGGACTGACCTCCAGTTTTAGAAGTGAGTGAAACTGATGTTTACTTTCTGGTGCCTTGAGATAATCTTAATTTATAGTGACATAAAAAAGACATACTCAGGACGGTTACAGTGCCTGGTTGTGCTTTCGATTCCACCTCCACATGTTCTTGAACAAGAACTGTAAGGTTCCCATGGTCCCCATTCACCGTTTACAGGATGTGTTTCCATTTCTTTGTTTACACATAGCCCACGGAGGCAATGCTATAAAAATAATAAGCACAAAAAGAAATAATGCCATCTCTAATTAGAACATCACAAAATTATAATAGCAGCATAAAGATCAACAGAAGAACAAATTAAACAATTTGAAGCAAGTTGTCATTAATTCAGAAATGTGATTACATTTGAAACAATTTTATGACGATTTCCTATCCACTGAGTAAGATCTGTGAAATACAAAAGGAGTATAATATTTCTCTTGGCTTTAAGATTCAGAGTATCATTGGGGAGGAAGGGAAAATTAAATAGTAAAATGGAGTATGTGGGTAATTTTTGATAGAGGAAGCCAAATACTGGATTCATACAGTATATTTCCATGCTTCTATTTTTTTACTCAAAGTACCTGTTCACTCTTCCACTCTTATAAAAAGCTTTCTACTTTATCTTATCCAAAGTCTCAGATGACAATCTTTTCTCTTCACTTTCATCTAGAAAATGGAAACTTACAGAAGAATCTACCCACAGTCTCCCACCACCTGTTCTACCCATTCAACAGCATCTGCACCCATACGTTCAGCCTTGTTGCCTGTTAGCATACTGGAACACTCATGATCCAAAAGTCAACCCCTCTGCTTGTGCACTTAATCCCATCCCTTCTAACTACACCAAACATCACTCCAGAATTCTCTCGTCTCTTCTACATCATCATCACTTCAGTGATAGCTAATCAAAGTATGGTCATGCACTCACGCTAGTCTAAACTAGTTACCAGACTCAGAGAAGATAACACAAGCTCAGAGTAGGCATTTAGAAATTTTTATAAGATTTTTACAGAGAAATTTTATGTCTAAATAAATAATTTTAAACTTGGCTTGTGTTTATTTTTAATTGTGGCAAAACATGCATAACATAAAATTTACCATCTTAGTCAGGTTTAAGTATATAGTTCAATAGTATTAGCTATATTCATTGTTGTGCAATCAATCTCCAGAACTTTTGCATCTTTCAAAACTGAAACCCTATACCCAATAAGCGACAACTCCCATTTTGCCCTTCCAGCTACCTCCTCATAACCACCATTCTACTTTCTGTTTCTATGAATTTGACTACTCCAGATACTTCATATAATTGGAATCATACAGTACTAGTCTTCATGTGACTGGCTTATTTCACTTAGCATAATATACCCAAGTTTCATCCATATGCCAGAACTTCCTTTTTAAAAATGAATTATATTACACTGTATGTTGTCTTAGTCCATTTAGTGCTGCTATATAAGAATACCCAGGATTGTATAACTTATAAATAACAGAAATTCATTTCCCACAGGTCTGAGATCTGGGAAGTCTAAGGTCAAGACTGGCAGGATTGGTGTCTGATGAGGCCATTCTCTTCTTCCAAGATAGCACCTTTCACGCTGCATCCTCTGGAGGGAGAGAATACTGGATCCCCACAGGGCAGAATGTAGAAGGGCTGAGACAGCTCACTCCTGAAGGCCTTTTTATAAGGCATTAAACCCACCCATGACAGAAGAGCTCTTACACCCTAGTCATATCTTACAGGCCCCATCTCATAATACTGTTACATTGGCAACTAAAATTCAATGAGTTTGGGAGGGGACAAATATTCAAACCATAGCATATGCATTTATCACACTTTGTCTTTTCATCCATCAGTGGATACTGAGTAGCTTTCACCTTTTTATTATTATTTAAGATGGAGTCTTGCTCTGTTGCCAAGGCAGGAGTACAGAGTGGCATACGCTTGGTTCGCTGCAACCTCTGCCTCTTGGGTTCATGTAATTCTCCAACCTCAGCCTCCTGAGTAGCTGGCATTACAGGTGTATGCCACCACAACAAGCTGATTTTTGTATTTTTAATAGAGACAGGGTTTTGCCATGTTGGCCAGGCTTGTCTTGAATTCCTGCTTTCACCTTTAGGTATTGTGAATAATGCTGCTATGAGCATGAGTGTACAAATATCTCTTTGAGATCCTGCTTTTCATTCTTTGGGTATATATCCAGAAGCAGAATGGCTGGATCATATGATAGTTTGATTAATAATTTTGTGAGGAATGGCTGTACTATTTTCCATAGAAAAATTTGGCATATATTTTGAGTGTCCTTTTTCCATTTCATTTTCCTAATCAATCATTTTTATTACTTTGTAAAAAAGTATCAGTTTGTAAATAATCAGAAATTTTAAAAAGAAAAAAGGGATATTTTACTACATATAATTTGCAGAATAGTTTCCTAGATTATTCTCCTGAACATACAAATACAACTCTTATTTCTCTTACTTTAAAAAAAAATAGTAACAACAAAATCTTTCTTAGATCTCACTGCCCTTACCAGGTACTGCCCTGCTTCTCCTTGAAAGAGCTGTCCATGTTCATTTTTAAACTCCCTGTCTATTCTCTCATAACTCCACCACAGACAGGTTTTTATATTCTATTGCTCCAAGAATCTGCTCATGTGTAGGTCGCCAACGGCCAATTCTTATTCTCTGTCTTCCTTATCAGTAATATGTGCACAGTTACTCACTCTTCTTCTTTGACACATTTTTTTTCTCTTCATTTCCAGGGCTCTACACACTTGGTTTCCTTCCTTCATAATTAATTTTTTCTCACTTTCTTCTGCTGTTTCTTCTTCTTCTTCTTTGTGACAACTTAATGTTGGAATGTTTGTTCAGGATCATATCTCAGTTTTTTTATTCTTTTCTGTTAACAGTCACATCTAGTCAAGATCTCTCCCCTAAACTCTCTTCTTCTTTGTGACAACTTAATGTTGGAATGTCTCTCCAGGCTCATATCTTGGTTTTTAAATTCTTTACTATTAACAGTTACTTCTAGTCCAGATCTCTCTCCTAAACTCTAGTCTCATATATATGTCTACTTACTTACGACTATTTTCTGGAATGTCTAATAAACATTTCAAGCATAGGCATAGCATATCCAAAACAGAATCCCTTCCCTCCCAGCTCAAAACCTGCTTTTACTTAGTCGATCTAAGTTGTTCAGCCAAAAACCTAGTGATCACTTCTCTTCTCCTCTTTGAACACTCCAGATCTGATACATTAGCTACAATAAATGTTCTAGCTCCTTTTAAAATATATCAAAAATTGATCTTTCATTATCCCACTGCTACCATTTTGGTTGAAGCACTAGCATCACTTATTTCTATCACTGAAATAGCTAAGTAGATGTGTGTTTCCATTCTTGTCCCCGATAGTTTAGCCTTAACACAGTTGCCAGATGATCTCTTTTTAAACCAAGTCAAATCTGGTATGAATCCTTCATTATTTTGAGTAAATGTGCAGTTCTCACAATGGCCTGTGTGAACCTCCAAAATTTAAGACAGGTCTCAGTTAATTTCGAAAGTTTATTTTATAAAGGTTGAGGACATGCCCATGACACAGCCTCAGGAAGTCCTGACACGTGCCCAAGGTGGTCAGGGCACAGCTTGTTTTTATATATTTTAGGGAGACATGAGACATCAATCGATATGTAAGAAGTACATTAGTTTCCTGCAGAAAAGCAGAGATAGCTCAAAGCAGGGTCCCCCGACTGGGAGCTTCTGCATCACAGGCAGGTAAGAGACAGATGGTTGCATCCTTTTGGGTTTCTGATGAATATTTCCAAAGGAAGCAATCAGAATATGCATCTATCTCTGTGAGCAAAGGGATGACTTGAGTAGAATAGAAGGTAAATTTGTCCTGAGCCATTTCCAGCTTGGAGGGGCCCAAGATATTTTTCTTTCACACCTGCAATGTCCTAGGAAATCTTCCTTCAGTTACGTCTTACAGGTCTCTTTCTCTCTTTGCTTCACACCAGCTAAAATGTCCTACTTGCTCTTCTTTGAACATCCCAGGCATGCTCCAGACTTAGGAGCTCAGCTGTTCCTTTTTTTTTTTTTTTTTTTTTTTTTGAGACGGAGTTTCACTATTGTTACCCAGGCTGGAGTGCAATGGCGCGATCTCGGCTCACCGCAACCTCCGCCTCCTGGGCTCAGGCAATTCTCCTGCCTCAGCCTCCTAAGTAGCTGGGATCACAGGCATGCACCACCACGCCCAGCTAGTTTTTTTGTATTTTTAGTAGAGACGGGGTTTCACCATGTTGACCAGGATGGTCTTGATCTTTCGACCTCGTGATCCACCCGCCTCGGCCTCCCAAAGTGCTGGGATTACAGGCTTGAGCCACCGCGCCCGGCCTCAGCTGTTCCTTTTGTTGGGAACTCATTTACCCCAGATATCCTCATAGCTAACCCTCCCATCTCCTTTAAAACAGCTAATTTGGTGACTGCCTATAATATCTGTCCTGACCATCATATTTTAAATTGCAGTCTGCTCTCTCCTACCATAAAACTTCTTATCAGTTTCCTGCTCTATTTTTCTTGTCCGTAGCACCAATCAGTTTGATGGTACTATTATATTAATTATTTGTAATATTCTAGTCTCCCTCTAGAACTTAAGCTGCATGAGGACAGAGGTCTTGTCTGTTTTGTTAACTCATGTATCCTACAGCAACAGAAGAAAATGAGAAATGGTGTAACTAAAATAGTGCCTGACATAGTGGGCCCTTGATAAATCTTTGCTGATTGAATGAATCCCATAGCCAAGATTATAGCAGCAAAAATGCTTTGTGTTCTCCATTAGAAAAAGTCATTCAATATAAGAAAGTCATATTAGAAGGGAAAAAAAATCTCATAATGTACGATGTGCGTTGTACTTTCTAAGCATCTTTTACAAACAATTTAAGTAATGCTTGCTGTTTAAAAAAATAATTTGAGAGATTAGAGCATGAAGACATTATAATGTTATACTATTCGCCATGTTGTAAAATTAACTCTTTATCAGAAGGGTTCACCATGGCTTCACACATCTTGATTTACTACCAAAAGCATTCAGCACACAGATTCATTAGATAGTCACAAGATAAAGGGACTAAAGAAGAAGGTTAAGGTAAAATTATAGAATATTTGTTTCAAATGCCCCTTCAATAAAGGTCCATTTAATACTGAATACAGCTAAATATACAGGGGTTCACTGTGTTTAATTAATTTTAAAAAGGGAATTTATACCTATTATAATCCACATGATGATTATCCCAAATACCACCTTTGCATTTAATCTTCATTGGCTCTAAAGTACATCGTAGTGTCTCATCACATTTATCCTGAATCCCAATAAATCCATGCCTATCCTACCATCTCATTGGGAAAATATTCAAATGGCCAATAAGCACATGAGAAGATATACAAGGTTGATAATAATCATGGAAATACAAGTTAAAACCACAATGAGATTCCATTTTATACCTACTAGAATGGCAAAATTTTTTTAAAAAAAGACTAACAATATCAAAAGTCAGCAAGAAATAGAGTAACTGGAACTTTCCTACATTGGTGGGGGGAGTCTAAAATGGTACACATATTTCAGAACATGGTTTGGCACTTTCTTATGATGTTAAACATACATTTACCCTATAATCCAGCAATTCTACTCCAAGAAAAACACAAACATATGTCTACAAGGAGACTTGTATAAGGATGTTCATGGCAGCTTTATTCATAATAACCAAACACCAGAAATGATTCAAATATCTATTGACAGGAGAATTTATAAACAAATTATGGTATATCCACATAGTTGAATTATACTGTGGTATAAAGGAATGAACTGCTGATGCACACAATAATATGGATGAAGCTTAAAAATATTAGGTTGAACGAAAGATGTCTGTCCCATCCCGCTCATCCAAAAAAGAGGACACTGCATAGTTCTATTTACAACAAGAACAAGAAAAAAAACTAATCTGTGGAAATAAAAATCAGAACAAGAGTTCTCTCTGGAAGGAAGGAAAATTGTCTAGATGGAGGCACAACTGAACTTTTAAAAGTGATAGAAATGTTATAATTTTTATTGGGATGTTGGCTATATGTGCATCCACATTTGTTAAAATCCATCAAACTGTAAACCTAAGCTCTATGCATTATACTTATACATATCTTAATTTCAAAAACTCATGTTTATACCGTAACTGGATTTAGACTACTAATAAATTAGCTATAAAGAGTACATCTCCTAATATTTGTAAATGTATCAATCACTACTTTTGCCACAGGCAATCAATTCTGAAGGTTCATGGCATACAATAACTTGAAAAGTTGCTAAGGAACAGAGGAAGGTGCCAATCCTGGATTTTAATCAGGTGAACATCTTAGAGCACAAATGCACCAGTATCAGCAGCCCAGCATTCATACTTCAAAAGGTGGTTTTTTTATTTCTTCTGCTCAGCCTCAGGTAGTCACTCTCACAAATGCCACCCTTTTAGTCAAAAAGCATCTTCTAATACTGGTCACAGAACTGAGAAAAAAGTAAAGTCCTTAAAATAATTCTTAACCACCAAATAGAAATGTGATCAAATTTTAAAATTCAAAGCCAGCTGAACTGAAAAAGCCCACTAGAACTCTAGTCCTAAAATTACAAAAAGCTTATTAGTGTGTTAGATGATTTCAATGAGTAGTTCAGCTGCTACAGAACTTCAAGTTCCAAATAAAATACTACTAACCAATTAATTTGTGATGTGAGCCACATTCATAGGAAACACATGCCTTTTGATGCAAAAGTGATTCAACAGAAAGGCAATAGCTGGTATAAATATTTCAATGAAGCAACAGGTGATAAGGGCACAGGTTTAGCTACTGAACTGACCTTATTTTTAAGAAGTTTATCTTTTTGGCTAATGTGAAGGTAACAGAGAGGCAGAATTAGCCAATCCATTCCCAAGGAAGTGTTCCTTTTACACTGAGAGCGTTCAGAGATGCTGACAGACTAAACACTTAATGTAGTCAACACTGGCCACTGAGGCTGTCCTGGAGCACCAAAGTTCACTATGACTTCATCCTCTCATATGACACTATTTTTTATCATAATGAGCATTATCAACATTCAGGATTGATTGCCTGTGGCAAAAGTAGTGATTGATATATTTACAAATATTAGGAGGTGTACTTTTTATAGCTAATTTATTAGTAGTCTAAATCGAGTTAGGGCATAAACATGAGTTTTTGAAATTAAGGTATATGTAAGTATAATGCATAGATCAACATCATGGTAACAACTTTAGATAAGTTAATGACTGTTGGAATAATAAAGACGTAGCATAGGAGGCTGTTGATTTTAGGGGTATAATGCATCTTAATACACTTAGGAACAATAAAGGTCTAAAGAAGCCACTGAAAACTTTCAATTGTATTAACTGAATTTTAAGGAAAAAAAAGTATGAAATGGAAACATTCTTGAATTTGGAGAATTTGCCAAAATATTAGGACTGTTATGTCTGTCCTTAATTTTAATGGCGACATTGTAATACATATAGATAATTATATATCCATGTAATTATTTATATGCTACTATACAAAACTTTAATATTCATCTGCCATCGCTTAGAAATATAACAATTTTAAAAACAACAATATAATACACATAGATAACTATATATCCTTGTAATTATTTGTAGGCTAACCACAGAAAACTTTAGTATTCATCTGCCATAGCTTAGAAATGGGAGAAAATTAAAAATTTAATTCAGTTGACAATGTACTACAGCAAACAAACATGTCAGTAACATTAGCCAGCTGAAGAAAAGTTGACAGCAAATAATGAACAGAGTGCTAAAATGCAGAGCAATCACATCCTGGGATAATGTCTTCATACAAGACTCACCCTTGGAGAAAACCTACCATCCCAGGACCACATTCTGTTCCATCCGCTGGTGGCACACGTTGAGTTAAACAGCTCTTGTCAACTCGTTCTGCACTTGTGCACCACAGATGCCTGCATGTATTCTGCAAAGTAACAAAAGGCAGGCAAGCCAGCATAAGGATAGCACCACAACACTGGTTCAATTCAGTATTACATATTGGTTTATAAATTGATCTATTTCCTGGTTCTATGGTATAAGCTGAAACTCATCAGTGAACTTTTTTACTAAGTAAGTTCTAGTCATTGATTTTCTTATAAACACATAAAACTGACATTTTCCTGAAAACATCTTTTAAAAAAATTTCTTCATACATTGAATAGGAGATATGAATTGGAGTAGAAATTTTCAAAATTATTTGAGATTTTTTTCTCTTTACAAGATATTTTTCTAAAGAACTTTTTGCTGTTAAATGTTATTCATAAGAAGTTGCCAAAAGCCACTATTGATACAATGGTGGAATGTATGAATAATCAGCATTGAAATAATGTATAATGTATACTGAAGTTTCCTATTTTGTGAATATAATGCCTACTTTCAGCTTTGAAGTTTTTGAAAGAAACAAAAGTTCACAGTGGGTCATATGAGCTATACTCAATATAATTCCTTTCTTTTTCTGAATTTAAATTCAAAGTTTATTTAGTATCTAAATCAGATTGGAAAGAAATGTATCTTTTATTTTGATATGTTAAGGTAAACCTTCCCCACTTCACAGTGGATGTTTAAAGGCTTATCAAAATTTGTGATTCTATATGTAAGGTTTTAGGAAGAATAGTAACTATATGAAATGAGCTTTGCCTGTCCTGCATTCTCTACTTAATTAATTCATTCAATAGTCAATAAACATTCTGTGGCATGTCCTGTGCGACAAATCCTAAACTGAATACCAGGAGTAGATATTTATTTTAATGATTGAGTAAGTCTACATTCCTGGTTCAGTGATCCTCATAATCTAGTAAGGAGGGAAGCAAGTAAGCAAAAGTACATAGGGAATAAGAAAAACTGAATGAGTACTCTACATGGAAGAGTAAAGCATGGATTCATCAAAGCAGTGACATTTATTCTAAACTAAATCCTAAATTTACCTCCATATAAAATAAAATCACAATTATAGATCCAATAAAAGTGTTAGGATCAACTATTTCAATGATAATTAAAAGTGTGTAATCTATGAAAAATCATCAAAATATTATAAAGTAATAGCTCAATGAAAACTAAACAGTATGCTCCCAAATTTAAGTCTTTGAGATTCAAATATATGTAAAGGAAAATATACTCTATTATTAGCTAGATTCCTGGTGCCTTTGAGACAACTCAGATTCAAAACACCTATCTATATTTTCTCCTTAACCTCAAAATAATATCATTTGAAAATAACCATTTCAATGCCTTTAGTTTTCAAATTATGTAACTTTCCTATTTTCTTTTTTTTTTTTTAATTGCATTTTAGGTTTTGGGGTACATGTGAAGGACATGTAAGATTGTTGCATAGGTAAACACATGGCAGTGTGGTTTGCTGCCTTCCGTCCCCTCACGTGTATCTGTCATTTCTCCCCATGCTATCTCTTCCCACCTCCTCACCCCCGCCGTCCCTCCCCCATTTCCCCACAACGGACCCCAGTGTGTACTGCTCCCCTCCCTGTGTCCATGTGTTCTCATTGTTCAATATCCGCCTATGAGTGAGAACATGCGGTGTTTGATTTTCTGCTCTTGTGTCAGTTTGCTGAGAATGATGGTTTCCAGGTTCATCCATGTCCCTACAAAGGACACGAACTCATCATTTTTGATAGCTGCATAATATTCCATGGTGTATATGTAACACATTTTCCCTATCCAGTCTATCACTGATGGGCATTTGGGTTGGTTCCAGGTGTTTGCTTTTGTAAAAAGTGCTGCAATGAACATTCGTGTGCATGTGTCCTTATAGTAGAACGATTTATAATCCTTTGGATATATACCCAGTAATGGGATTGCTGGGTCAAATGGGATTTCTATTTTTAGGTCCTTTAAGAATCGCCACACTGTCTTCCACAATGGTTGAACTAATTTACACTCCCACCAACAGTGTAAAAGTGTTCCTATTTCTCCACATCCTCTCCAGCATCTGTTGTCTCCAGATTTTTTAACGATCGCCATTCTAACTGGTGTGAGATGGTATCTCAATGTGGTTTTGATTTGCATTTCTCTAATGACCAGTGCTGATGAGCATTTTTTCATACGTTTGTTGGCCTCCTGTATGTCTTCTTTTGTAAAGTGTCTGTTCATATCTTTTCCCCATTTTTGAATGGGCTTGTTTGTTTTTTTCTTGTAGATCTGTTTTTGTTCTTTGTAAATTCTGGATATCAGCCCCTTGTCAGATGGGTAGACTGCAAAAATTTTTTCCCATTCTGTTGGTTGCCGATTCACTCTACTGACTGTTTCTTTTGCCGTGCAGAAGCTGTGGAGTTTGATTAGGTCCCATTTGTCTATTTTAACTTTCCTATTTTCTAAATGAGAACACTTCATAGGAATTTTTTGTGAGAGTTAACAAAGATAATTTTTAAGTACCCAGAACAGTACCTGACACATAATAACTAGTCAATAAGTTTTAATTTTCCTTTTCTTATCACTTTTTGACAAATACTAAATTATCAGACTTAAAAGCTATATTTAGTTCACTTTCTGTTAAAGAGAATAAACACACATTTTAAAATATACTCTAAGTATAACTTTATGGTAGCTTTCAAACAAAAGAAAAGAATTTTTCTTACCGTCTTAGGACACACTTTTGACCCAGGACCAAATGTAAGTTCACACTGCTTGTTTCCATCATATTGTGACCCAGGAAGTTCTGAAGGCAGATTATATATTTCTTCATTTGGTTTGTCACGAAGACATTCTGCATTACCAGAACTGTACCAATGACAGAAAATACGACATTGTGAATAGACATGGATACATTCCAGTATGATTCTTTTTCACATTTTCTGTAATTCTTTACTTTCAAAGAGAATATCAGTATTTTTTCATAACTTAAAAAAACCAACTCACATCAATATCAGTATAGCAATGTTCCTACACATAAAGATGACTTCACAGTTTATAAAGGATCTTTAATATGCACGTTTGCGCCTGATCCCCACAACCACCTTGAAGGCAGCAATTTTAAAAAATGATAAGTAATAAACACAAATTCATCAGAACATTATTTATTAAATATATATCCATATCACACTTTTGGTCTACTTTGCTCTCCAATAATAATGTCTCAAGTATAATGACCAACTGTTAAAATGTTGGAAAAATAAGTTTTCAAATCACTTGAAAAAGTATATTTCTAGCCCTACACAGCAATAATAACAAAAAAGGAGTTTCAAAAAGTTTTATGCTGTCTCCACCTCAAGAGGTCTTTCAAGGTGGGAATATGGAAGAGTCAAGATCACTGGCTTTCGGAACCTACATTTTGGTTCCATCAATTACCAAGATGCATGGCCATGGACAAATTTTTTTAATCTCCCTATCTCCCTGAACCACAGTTTCCTCATCTGTAAATTGAGAGTGGTAATATCTTTTAACTTGCTATCAGAATACACAATATGTTTGAATGACTTAGGAAAAAGCATGAGAAATATATGTATTACTCCTAGTTTACCACCCAAGGTTCAGTATGCAGCAAACTGTACAGCTATTCCAATTGGGCTAAAAGTAACCCTTTATCCCACTGCAATAATTAAATCTTTTTTGAAAGATTTTACTGGCTAAAAGGAAAAATATCAATTTTCCAATTAAATGAACATGTAACCTTAAAAATCTTCTTTGAAGAAAATCAAAATATTACTCACTTCCAAAAAGAAAAGTACACCATTGGTACTTTTACACATCACATCAGTATTTTTAATCATTGAACAAAGCTATAGACCATTCTGTACAGATCAGTACAGATCAGCAAGTATAAGTTGTGCTTTTAAGTCAAGTTCCCATAGAAGTATTATCACTGTTGATTATAATTTGAGGATATATTTACAAACATATATTCCAAGGCATGAGTTTATATTTTCCCATAGTTTTCATAAGAGAGAGGAAATTAGAAAATACTAATGCTGTGAAATTGATGATTAGAATATATCAGTAGAAGAAGTTGAAGTAGTGTTACATTTATACAAGAAGATTACCGGGAAAGAGATCAGGCTTGCCTTTTGGAAAAGTTTCAGTGACTTAGAAAGAAACACCATTCAAATAAAATAAATTGGGAAGCAGAGAAACCGGAAGCAAAGTGGAGAAATGAGTCAAGGAAAACCTAGATCTACTAACTCTCTTCAGAGCTAAAAAGAACTCCTGAAAGAGTGTGCAAAGTTAGAGACTCAGCATCTCTGTGGCTTTAGAGAGCTATCAAAATAATTCATAGTTTGACTTTAGCTATTCTCTGTCCTTCAGGGGTACCTCAAACTTGAGTCACTCAAATTTCTCTCAAAATGTTACCTAATAACTTCAGAAAAAATTCAAACACATATAAGAAAACTGGAATTCCCATTAAGTCTCCCATCAAACATAGTTTTCATCACAAGAAAGAATCCAGATTAAAAAATAATAGCTAGGTCTGACTACAATGAAAATATTTATCTTAAAGAGTTAAATTATATATATACACACAACTCGTTTCTTATTTTTAAACACCCATTTGTATGGTGAAATTAAACATAAATTAAAACAAGGAAAAGCTAAACATAAATTAAACCACCTTTAAAAATATCAATTTCAAATCTTATAATCGAATACATGTTCAATTATTTAACATAAATTTACTTACTCTAGGAATTCGGTAATATATTTTTGACTACATTTTGACCATGTCCAAGGACTCATGTGGAAACTTAAAGCAGGGGCCATTACATGATACTGTCTAATTTTCATTTCTTGACATCTAGGACTATCGTCATGTTGAATACCAAGTCTAAAAGTAAAAATAAACACTTAAAAGGGATATCAAAAGATGCATACAATATTAGTAACAGATCCTTTATATTTGCACTATAACATAAAATACAGATAAATCTGCTTATATCATAATTTGAAATCCAACTCTCCATAAGGTCTTACAGTGTTCATATTTAGAAGTACTTGATGGCTGAGAAATATTATAGTCTGGTGATATGGCATCTGAGTCTACACAATCAAAATATTTGGACTCTGTTGCACCTCATCACAATATGGACCACAGCATTCACATAAAAGTGCCTGCAGGTTCAACATGGATATTCCAGCAGATGTGTGTGGATAAAGATTAGGTAAAGATAATACCACACTAAATTCTAGACCTTTGTCTATTGCTATAATATCAAAAGAACTTCTTGAATCCCCAGTTCTCATCATTCCATAGTACCCATCTATTTGATAAGAAATAAATACTATTTCAGGTCCATACTTCCTAAGTGATGTTCAACAGAACTAGAATAATAAAAACATTCCTAAAGGGCAATCAAATCTTCATCACTTAAATATTAAATAATCAGCAGGTCAGCAGCAGATCCTATGCAATTTGAGGGGAACTCAAGTATTATTAGCTAGAGTTTAGAAGGCATACTGAAACCACTTAATTCAGAGGCTTACTTGCTAAAATTTGTATTTAAACCATTTTTAAAATTAAACAACTTACCCATATACTAGAGACACCTAAAGAGTTTCTAAGGAAGAAAACAAATATCTAAGATGGCACTCTCTGCAAAAATAGTCTTCTACTGGTTAGCAGCCTTGTAAAGCAGGACATAGCGCTACCCAGACGTTGCTGCAATACTTCTACTGTCCGTAGTATACTCTGCTCATCCTATCCCCCTACTCCAAAAACAACTTACAAAATAAAGTGTGTAGCTTGTTGATGATTATGAAACATAACGATGCAAAAACAGAACTGAAGAGATGATAGTTTACTAAAACTTATCTCCATTTAAAATTATTATTCCCCTTGAATGTTCTAATGATATCTCAAGGCATGAAGAGGAAATTAAATGTTGTCAAACTAAGAGCAACAACTCTAGACTTAGGTGCTTATTAGTAGATAACAAAGAAACACCAGGAGTTCTGGGGTGTACGTTTAGAATCTTTCTTCAGAGGATATATTTGTAGGGGTTTCTGACTTTCCACAGGAGCTCCAAGAATATCATGAGAAATCACAGCCTCCATCTTTAGAACATAGAACCCCAGTATATTTTTCAGTAATGCAGGAATAGGTAAGAGAATCCCAAATTTTTATGAGCAACTATGGAAAAAGTGAAAACTAGAAAGAAAAAAAAAAACTCTTTTAGTAACTAAGAAATTCCCATGGGCAATACCCTTTGCTGGGGCACATTACTGAGAAAAAGAAGTGAGTTGGTATTACAAATATTTGGGGGAGTCCCCCAGAACCAGGAGCCCATGCAGGCCCTCCTATAAAATGGTATTTAGAGGACAGTACCTGGTCATATATAGAATAACAAGAGACAGAGCCAGAAGTGCTTGTCATGTATCCAATATAGTAAAGGAAATAAAAGAATTCCCAAGTTCTAGTTCTTTGCTTAGTCTGTTGATCTGTGCAGCCTGTCTGACCTAACATAGATCACAAAAGAGCCAGAGTTAGCATTTCAGGGAAAAAAAATTACACTAATAACATTTTATGAAGAAACAAAGGTGCTAATTACTCAACTGAAGATGGAATTTCAGGCATTCTGTGCAAAGATAAATAGAATGCACATTAAGGAGGTGACAGAAGGTACTTACGTGTGCCCAAGTTCATGGGCTATAGTAAAAGCAGAAATGAGTCCCTTTTCTTCATTAATTAAGCAGCTTTGTGAAGCATCACACATGGTACCTAAGTATGATAAACCTGAAAAATTTCATTTGTATTTCATCAAAATGGAAAACACTACCAAATCATAAAGTAAGAACTAAATTTTGAAGCATTTAACCATTGGCATTACTACTTAGAAATAAATGCAGAATTGGCTGTTAATATTGATTAAATGTTTTGAAAAGTAAAAAATGAGAGAGAGAGAGAATGGAATGATTTATCTGCAAAGTTTTTGAATTGTTTACTGAAGTAAATAATTTTAAAATGTAGAGTGAGCAAACAACTTTTTAAAATACTTTTTAAAAAAATTTTAAAAAGAAAAGAATATTTGCAGGCAGTATGAAGTGTTTTAACACATTAGTGTGGGTAGCAGGAAAGAGACTGAATGTGTTAATTGGTAATGGAAAAGCTAGTAAGAGAAGAAAATGGTACAGAACTCTACAAATCTATGAAGTTTCTTTAAGTTTTTCAGGTTTAAAGCAGTATACAAATATTCAATTATCATATGACACGAGTAAAAATATGTTAAGTGGTCAGAATAGTATCTGGCATTTATATATGTTAAATAAAATAAAACGAGTTTATAATATAAGAATTACTGCAGTCACTGAATAATTTTGTAACATTTCAGTAATATGTAATGTATTGAAAAATCAGGATCTATTCAGTCCTATGTAAGGAATAACATGTAACTCCAAAGTGCTATTGAAAAATGGAAGGTCTGAACTGGCTGGACACCAAAGACGGCAATAATTATGGCTTATACAGTCATCTAAAATAATATAGAATAAGAAACTCAAAATAAATATTCATTACAATCCATAGTCCACCACCAAGTTTTTCATTTACTTATTTTTAGTTTAACATAATCCCATGGTTTTGCTATTACTATCCTTCAATTTGGTTGTAAATGTATCTGCTTTCCTAGAACTCTTTCTTTACAGAAAAAGATTTTTTCATATATAAGACAATCAGTTTCTTTTTTTTTTTTAATGTGAACATATATTTTGTTTTTATTTTTCTGGAGATGACCAATAAGCATATGTATTTTCTTTACATTTATTTGTATTTCTACTTCTTCTACCATGACAATCAGTTTCTTACTGTAAAGCTTTTGCATTTAGAAATTTCTTAATATAGAATAAACAGACTTCCATTAGCTCCTATTTTAGCTCTTCTCTGCTATGTCATTTTTATTCTTAGAAGTTAAAAATTTGAACATTTACTAGCATTTAAGGTAGATATCCTAACAACTAAAATGCTTTTGTTGTGCTTTAAGAGAAATGGGAGTTAAACTGAGCACTCCAAATAACCTGGGGGAAAGTCAAAAGATGAAGAAGTTCGTTAGTCAATACTGTTTAACAAAAAGGAAAGAACTGTCTTCTTTCTGACCACACTGTCCAAAGGTCTTGCTTTGGCAAGATCCCTCCAGAAAACAAGCTTTTTCCTTAGAATGAAGACTAAAAGCAAGCAAAGAGCAATCCCATTACTGGATATATACCCAAAGATTTATAAATTGTTCTATTATAAAGATACATGCACATGTATGTTCATTGCAGCACTGTTTACAATAGCAAAGACCTGGAACCAACCCAAATGTTCATCAATGATAGACTGGATAAAGAAAATGTGGCACATATACACCATGGAATACTATGCAGTTATAAAAAACAATGAGTTCGTATCCTTCATAGGGACATGGATGAATCTGGAAATCATCATTCTCAGCAAACTGACACAAGAACAGAAAACCAAACACCGCATGTTATCACTCATAGGTGGGTGTTGAATAATTAGAACACATGGACACAGGGAGGGGAGCATCACATACTGTGCTCAGTTGTTGGGGGGCATGCTGGGGAGGGACAAGAAGGGGTAGGGAGGGTGGGGACGAATAAAAAGGGGATAAATACCAGATGTGGGTGATGAGGGGGATGAAGGCAGCAAACCACCTTGCCATGTATGTACCTATGCAACAATCCTGCATGATCTGCACATGTACCCCAGAAGCCAAAGTACAATAAAAAAAAAGAACAAAAAAAAATATTTCTTAACAGTTCTCTGTAGAGTGTGAGGGAATGACTTGTTTCCTTAAGATTCTACAATTCATCTTTGTATGTACAGTCCTTTAGTGAATCACCATCTAATTATGTTTCTCTTTGTCAGGATAAGTTAAAGGGAAACACATTTCTTTCATGGACATCTGACTGTTTCCATGCTTTTATTAGTATTTTCAATTTGCCAAATTGCACAATTCCAAAATTTTCATTTGTAGTGCTGTGCAGATATTTGGAACACAGTATTGAGTCCACTACCAACCAAACTTTATGTTTCATTCTTAAAGGTATATGCGTTTTAAACTGAACAATTTAGTCACATTAAGAGATTTGTAAAAATATATATCAAATATAATTAGAGACCAAGCTCAAATATTCCCATAAGCAGGCAACACCAACAAAACTAAAAGTAAATGGTTAACATTATGGAAACATGCTGCTGGTTGATGGTTTGTATCTAGATTCATTCAAGCTAATTCTGGGTTCTCTAAAAGTCTAAAGATAGAATAACGCAGCAAGGGCCTAAGCTTGATATAAGTTCCCTATGTTTGGTAATACAAGAAGCTGCAAAAAGTCACGCAATCTAGCCATCTTGAAGAATGAAAACCATTCTGCAACATATTTTACAAAATATGGTCAAGGACGGAGGCAACAATACATGCAAGTGGAAAGAGAACAGAATACCTAGTAATTACCACTAACATTTTGTGTTTGTCATTAAGAACTCTCCTTAGTTTGCTATTTTCATGTATTTCAGATAGAACATAAAATACTAATACTTGCATTAATATAAGCTGTGTAGCCTTCTGCAAATTATCATCCTCATCTATAAAATTAACATAATAGTTCTTCTGATATAGTATCTGATATAGTATATGATAAGAAGCATTCAAATACCTTAACTATCATCATCATTACTCTTAAGAGATAATAATGCTTTCATCATCGTGGTATATGTTTCTAAATATTATAATTTATGTACATAGGAATGGCAGAAAGCTATAAAACCATAATTAGGGACTAGAGGACCAACCATTTCTATAAGAATATTCCAGAATGTCTAGCATTCAATCATTTAAAAAAAATAGTAAGAAATGGCAGATAATCAGTAAAAGTTTAGACTACTTAAGTATAAAGATGGGAAAACAGGGTATAGATAATGCAAGAAATATAATATATTCAATAGATTCTTGTTAAGTGATCTCAAAAATACACTTAACAAAGCCAGAGAATAGTTTGTAGGGAGGAAGAAATTCAGTCTGTTGTAAAAATTAGAGCAACAAGTGTCTATTTCTACATGTATGGAAAACTGGCATTTCTAAAGAGTCCCAGATGATTAGTGAAGACTATCAATTCTAAGCCTCAGTGATTTAACACACATATGAGCTCTCTTCTCTCTGTCTTCTCTCTCTCTCTCTCTCACTCTCTCTCTCTCTCTCTCTTCACAAGCATCTGGGCATATGTACACACATCCACACACATTCATACTTTTCAAATTCTAAGGGGCAAGCAATGAATAGTAAGGATAGATGCTATTCTGAGGGCAAATACTGATAAAAGTAGTATGATCCAAAGAGTAAGAGCTTGATAGAGGAAGCTTCAAGATGAATGTGGATGTTGAGCTTTCTTCATTAAGCCAGGGACTCCAGTTATGAACAGCCTTTGGATTCCAACAAGAAATAAAAATCATCTCTGGAAGAAGGCACACACTTTTTGAGCTAGCAATTTTTCAATACCATATGTTAATATTAAATAAATCGAAACTCAAAATCAAAGACCATCAAATAAACAAATAAACAAAAGGACATATGAGAAAGCAGAAATAACATGTTTGGCTATCAACTATTTCAGATATGGGAATTTTCAGATACATAATATAAAGTTATTCCACATAAGACATTTAAGAAAATGAAATTCAATTAAAAACGAGTAAATATTTTTAAAATATAAACAAAATGAACAGGTAGATGTTGAATAAAAGCTAAGTAGTATCTTTTACATTGAAATATATATATATTTTAAAATGTAAAATGTGAAGGACAGGTGAAATACCAGATTAGCTAAAGAGAGAGCCAAATATACTAATTTATATTAGTAAAACAGAAGTTAGAGCTGCTTGAATGAAGCTTGAAGAGAAAAAGAAGTGAAAGCAAAGAAAACAGAATGAGACAACCTAATACAGATGTAACAGTGTCCCATGGTGAAAACAGATAAAATAATAGGATAAAATTAGAAAAAAAAATGAAAATTTTCCAAAATTGCTGAAAGATAAACAGTAGATATCAGAATCACAACATATCCCAAGTAGGATAAATAAAAAGAAACGTATCTACATAAGGATACAGTTTTAGTGAAACTGCTTTATATCCAAGACAAAGAGAGGATCTTACAGAAGACAGATCAAGAAAACAATCTACAACTAAACCTACTACAGATTTCTCAACAGCAAAAGGCAGACACAACACAATCATATATTTAAACTATTAGGAAAAAATAACTGTCAACCTAGAATTGGTAACTAGAAAACTATACTTCAAAAGGACGATTTTCCTGTTAAATCAGGAAAACACTAAAACCTATGAATTATTTTAGTAAATTACGGAACCAGAAAACATGGGTTGTGGGAACCCCTGACTTAGCAGCCAACTCAGACAGATGTGTAGGTACCCTGGGCACCTAATACTTGCAACTGGCATGTGAAGTAAGAACAGTTTTACAGGACTGAGAGCTTAAACCTGTGGAGTATGACACAAACTCAGGGAAGTTAAGTATTAGAAACGAATTGAATCCTAGAATACTCAGTGTCTGGAGAGTTGAAGAACTGGTTGTTAGTGTGGAAAGAACGCATACATTTATTGTGAGTGAAAACACTTCAGACACATCAACTCTATTTTTTCCTTAAAAAGCATTATCAGAGATAAAGAGAGTAACTACACAATTGTAAAAGGTTCTATTCACTAAACTATGTTATCTAATAAG